ACCACTCAGGACCACACACGGGCAAGCCTTGACCTTTCCATGGCATGAGCATGGCCCCTTCAGGCAGAAGCTAGATGGTGACGGGCAGTTCCCCATGAAGGGACCCCCTCGATTTTTAGAAAGTTGAATCCTGCCATGTGCAAATCAGAAATGGACAGCTTCTCTTGTATCCATGCGCTAGGGAAAACTCTCCCCCTAGGCCCTGCAGGTTGAGGGAGATCCCTGTCTTGCTCCAGGGATTGGGTTCCTGGGCCTGATCAGACCAGGTCACGAGCTGCTACACTCCCTTGGTCTGCTCTTCTGGGATCCCGGGTCCTCAGGCCACGATGCAGGTGAGCATCGCAGCTGATGCCTACTGCCTCTCCTCTCCCACCCCCACCGGCAAGAATCTGTCTAAAGGCTGCTATTCCTCATATTCTGTGTCTTGCTTGCCCAGAAATTCGAGTGAAGCCCATCTGACCTCTTCTTGGTCAAGGAGCCCCAACTCTACGCGCCATGGGGATTTGTTGCCCCCAGAGCCAGGCATCCAAAACCCCACAGTCTGCCTCCAAACCAATGATATGCTTGCCTTCCTGGTGACCCATGCGCATTACCCAGAGTATGACCTGTGAGTGTCCAGAGGACAGAGCCCTGCCACCATCAAGGCACTGGGGAAAAGACGCCCCAGGTGACAATCCACCGCCTCCTCTCTCTGTCCCCAGGGGCCACTTCTATAACACACTGCAGGGATTTGACTGGGGGTGCTTCCGGGCCCTCCCTGAGGAGTCCCAGCTCCACGATTGAGAACCCCACCTCTTTCTGCAGCAGTTCCAGCAGCCTGGGGTGTATGTCTTTCGTCTGAGCAGCAACAAGCATCGGAAGATGGTTTGTCCCTGACGGCTGGCCTCATTTAACACACTAGCCCATCATTTCCCCCTCGTCTTAAAAAATACTGCCTCATAACCATCCCAGACAGATCCCCAAGGAAGGAGACACTCAGGGTGTCCCTATCAGAGTTTCGGGCTCCCAAAGTCCTAACAGGTAATTCTGGGGGTTCCTAGGGTTCCCTCCAACATGTGATGTATAGGGAAGGGAAGATCGTGAGAGTGGAAATAACATGTGTATCTAAGGACCTCACAGTGTCCAAACATCTCTCCCAGCCCTCTACTTCATTACCCCTCCTTCCCTACTCCCTCTTTCATCCTAAAGGCACACGTCCCAAGCTCATCTGCACAGGCTTGTATCCATGTGACCTGCCTATGAGGCCACCACTGATCCAGGTGCAGTCTCTTGGGCACACACAGGTTTAGCTCCCCATCCTGTCTGCACAGCTTCTAAGAGGCTGTGCTGACCTCACCCCAGAACATGCATACAGCTGCTCAGTTACTTGATGTGAACTTGTTTCCCAGGAAAACCCAGATTCTGCTCCCCCAAGGTATGCACAAAGATCTAGACTACTTGGTTCGTGCTGACAGGCCCAGGGTCCCACTCTGTCCCCTTGCCAGTCTCTGGCAGACTGTGGGAGAAAGGCTGAACAGATTTCTTTCCACCCAGTACATCCGCACCCTCCTGCCAGGGGGCCAGTGCTTCGGAGAAGGGCCCTTCGCCTCCACGACTCCCAGGCATCTCATCCAAACTGGCATCGCCAAGATCCCCAGGCCCCCAAAGAGGTCTGACTGGCCAGAAGTTCTGGGGGAGATTGTCCTGCTCCTGGGGTTCTGCCTGCTTCTATTGGTGAGTAAAGCTGGACAAGTGACATCTTAACCCCTGTGCAAATCCATGTCAATGGGCTGTGCAGTGCCCGTTCACGGCAGGCGATCCAACAGCCGCTAAGATGCAAACGTGACAGAGGTTCAGCCTCGGGCCTCCAGTGATCAAAGTTCAGCAGGCAGAATACAGACAAGGAAACAAATGAACGTCAGGGAACATCAGGGGACTCTGGTGAAAGCCTGTCCAGGGCGTCTGGCTGCACGAGGAAGGAGCTGACTGCCCTTTCTTGGTGGGTCAGGACAGACTTTTGTGAAGAGGTGATCCCTGAAAAAGGCTTGAGATATGAGCCGTGGGGGCATGTGGTCCCTGTACTAACAAAGGGGTTGGTGAGTTGGGGGCTGGGAGGGTAATGGGCTTGGGCAGAGGGAGGGGATGAGAAAGGGAGGACTATGTGTGAGGGAACAGAGGCATGAAAAAGCATTCACCTGCTCAGGTAACCAAACGTGGGGGTGCAAGCACAGAGCTGAGAAACGAAATCACTATGGTTTCATGGGCCCTGCTTTATCCTCTACGCAGTGAGGATCCATTAAAACCTTTGAGCAAAACAAAACAAAAAATTTTCAAGCAAGAGAGAGAAACCCTGGTAAGACTTTTATTTTTACTCTAGCAATAGGGTAGAAGACAAGATGGATTGGGGGGAAAGTCACAAAGAGATAGACAGTTGGAATAGTCCAAACAAGAGAAGATGAGGTGCTCCCGAACTACAGCTGAGCAGCGATCTCCCTCCTCCTGGAAGAAGATGCTTCCCCCTGTCCTTCACATCACCCCATTATGTACCATGTAGATTCAGTGTCACAGCCTGACGTGGGCCCGGAAGGCCACTCCCAACCCCACCTTCAGGAAGCATCAGCAAGGATACAACCTGGATGCCTACACTTCCCCAAGAACTGGGATTATATCAGTGAGGAGAGGTCCATCACACCAAGACTCTGATACCCCCAGGGTCAAGGGAGATCATGGTGAGTGGCAGACTCGGGTTAGAATCCCAGAGTTCTCCCCAAATCCAACTGACCAGCTCCTGCTTCCTTTTTTCATGTTCCTAGATTACTCATGGTTCCATTCTCCCCCATTCATTTATTCATTTGCTCAGTAATTATTTATTAAAGGCCACTCTATGCCAGACACCGCCTGGTTCTAGAAGAACGCAGTGTAGATGGGGGTAGAGACATCTAAATAAAAACTTTCCAAGGGGCGCCCGGGTGCCTCAGTCGGTTAAGTATCTGCCTTCGGCTCAGGTCATGATCTCAGGGTCCTAGGATTGAGCCCCATATCGGGCTCCCTGCTCAGTGGGAAGTCTGCTTCTCCCTCTCCATCTACCTCTCCCCCTGCTCATGCTCTCTCTCTCAAATAAATAAATAAATAAATAAATAAATAAATAAATAAATAAATAAAAGCTTTTAAAAAAAGAACTTTCCAAAAGAAAAGTAATATAGCTGTGTACAAAGTGCCCAAGTTAGGAGATGTCCAGCACCAGCCGGAGGAGCGGATCACAGAAGGCACTCCTATGTCACACTAAAGTGCTTCACCTTCTACCCTTGCTACTCAAAGTATGCTCCTCAGATAGCGGCACTCCACCTTAAATGTGATTATGAATCACCTGGGAACCTTCTGCTGCAATGGCTCAGAGGTAGAACCTAGAATTCTGTGTTTCTAACGAGCTCCTCAGCAGAGCTGATGCTGCTCGTCCAAGCAAGACTGTGTCTAGACCATTGAGGATCCGCAGGAAGAAGATGCAGGGAAGATCGGCAGGGAGGCTTAACCTTGCATTTCCGGAGGCTAATCCCGCTTCCCATCCCCTGACAGGTGGGTGCTGGGAGGCCGAGGAGCAGGTAGACCTGGAGTGGTTTGACCCAGAACGCTTCTTTGCGATCCTGCTCAGGCAGTCTCTGTCCGTGACAACGCAACTCAGCCAGACCAAGGAAGAGGTAAGTGGAGAAGCTGAAGAAGAGAGCGGGGTTGAAAACGGGTTCATTGCAGAAGGGAACTGGTTAAAAGGATATAGAACCTAAAGAAATCCTCCATCTATCCATAAGGAATCAGGAAAAAGGAAAGTATCCGGGAGGGGAAATAGATTTCAGATCAAATTTAGGGCTGATTTTCAGAACTTTGGGCTTCAGATCAGTGATAGAGAATCTACTAAGACCACCGCTGGAGTCTCTCAGATCCCCATTCCTGGTCCTCGGTAGCCCACCTGGAATGCATAAATTCAGGCCAGGAGGTGACAGGCGTCGGGAGCAAAAAAGAACACACTAGAAGTCCAAGTACGGAATCTGGGTCAGGGGGCCTGCGGTGCTGCGGCGTCCCTCCCCCGACGGGCAGCAGAGGGCGCTGTGATCAAAGCCAGGAGCGCGGCCGCGAGGCTGTCGCAGGTGAACGCCGCCCTCCCCCGCAGCTCAAACTGCTCTGCCCCAGACTCGCGAGTGACGCCCGTTCTCTGCGGCAGCCGGGGGCGCTGAGCGTCGCATCCCAGCCTCTGCTGGCCAGCTTCTGGGGAGCCCCCCGAGGGAGCTGCAACAGGTCGGGCTGTGTTCACCCCTTCCCACCTGGTCCCTGTGCCTAAATGCGCCCCCCGGGGCGCCCTGAGCCCCGCCCCCCGGGGCGCCCTCGCGCACGCTCCCGTCTCCCAGGCCCCGGGGCCCTTGGCCCCCACGCCCCCCCCCCCCGCGGAGTTCTCGTCCCTTTGCCTCCGCTGCCGGGCCCGCCCAGAATGTTCTGGAGCCCCCTCCCGGGGCCCGCCCCCGGGCAGCTGCTGGCCCTGGCGTCTGCGGCCCCGCGGGCAAGCAGGCAGGGCTGCGTCCGACCCCCGGCTGCGGAGGCTGCTGCCCGGGCCGCGGAGCAGGAGGCCGGGCGCAGGGGGCGTCTGGCAGGCCCCGACGCAGCAAGCCTCGGTCGCCGCTGACGCTCGTCCGCCAGGACCTGGGCGCCAGGCGGGGGCAGCGGGCCTCTTTCTGCCCGGCGCTGACGGCGGCTCGGCGGCTGCTGCGGGCCCGGCGGCCTCCGGGCCCGCGAAGTCCTCCCAGGCCGGGCCGAACCCGGAAGGGTGCGTACCCGGTGCCTCTGGGTCCGGCTCGGTGAGCTCCGGCTTAGGGGAGGCGCGCGCGTGGCTTCGCCAGGCCCGGAGCTGGCCACGCGGAGGGCCCGTCCCCCTCCGTCCCCGCGCTCCCCTGCGAGGGCCTCCCCGCGCCCCCGCCCCCCGCAGGGAGGCCCCCCAGCTGGATGCTGCGCTGGGCCGCCTGTCCCAGGCTGTGCTGCAGGAGGGCCACCGCCTGAAGGCCTGGGGCGTCCTGGGTACCCGCCCTGGGGCGGAGCTGCTGCGGCCAGGTGGGTCCTACTCCGCCTCGCCGGCGCCCCCAGGAAACCTGGCCCTGCGTTCAGGGCGACAGGCCCTCCCCTACGACACCCTGCAGGGGAGGAGAAGAAGGGCAGAGCAAAGTGGAAACCCCCAAAGTTGGGAGGGACTTCCTGTGCAGGGTGCGGGCAAACAGCCGTGTTGCCGAAGAGGGAGCCTCCTAAATGGGAAGAACAGGGTAGAAATGAGCGAAACGGCCGCGAAAAATGGCTTTACACATAAGGGAGCATTTCCTGGGAGCAAAAGCCTGACGGATGAGTGCAAAAGGCCACATTTGGAGAATGCCGGGCTTGCCTGGAAACGAAGAGAGGGAGAAGGATCCCCTTGGGTTCCCTGTGGGAATTCTGAGTTCTGGGAGTCCCCAGCCCCATCAGGTGACCCCTAGGCTGTCACCACAGTTTCCCAGAGTCCTTCTAGTCCCTGCCAGCCTGCAATATGATGATACCACCATGTCATGTCTTAAATGGGGAATCCTGGCCTGCACTCAGCAAAAGACAAGACACTCTGCTCTCAGGGAGCACTTGCTCCTGGGGTTGGGGTGCGGTTCTTCCCCAGGCACCAGCCAAGGGAGCCCCTAGCCTGCCCACTCAGCCTCACACCCAGGGCTGAGCAGTTTGCTTTCCTGCAGCCGCAGCAGGCCCTCAAGGGGGCGCCCAGGACATCAGCGTGACTCCCATCACCAAGTTGATGGTCCCCGGCCCCAACTGTGCAATGCTTCCAGCCAGTGGCCATGCAGGGTCCATACCCCCTGGCTACTTCATCCACCCTGACACTGGGAAGGTGCTGCCTGAGGCTGGAAATCTGGGGTACGATCTGCAGGGAGCTACCTTGGTGCCCACCACTGACTTCAGTTCCGGTGAGACCCTGACCACGAAGGAGGAAGGAAGGTGCTCCCCAGGAGCACAAGGAAGGGAGCAGGGCTCTGTCCTTGCACCGTGGGGTGTGATGACGAGCTGAGCAGTAAACACCTTCTCCCCCTCCTCACTTTAACATTCTTGCTGCAGAGCGTGAAGGCTGGAGAGAGCCTCTCAGTGCAAGAAGGCTCTGCAGGGCCGGGGAGGGAGGCTGGCGTATCAACAGTACCAACACTTCCCTGTCTCCCTGTCCAGGTGGCGTCCGAACATCAGAAGCCGCCATCCTCCCCTATGTGCCCTACCCAACCTGTCCTGCCACGGGCTCGCCTCCCGCCCCCCACCTGCCTGTCCTGCAGCCGAGTCGGACATCACAGCTGGGGGCGCTCATGACAGACCCCGCAACTGGCATCGAGGTGCCCGTGCTGGCTGTGACTCTGCATCCTCAAACCAGGCAGTGGCTCACTCTTGGGGGCACATACTGCAATCCTCTCACCAAGACCTCAGCCCCTCTAGAGTTGGGGGGCCCCATGGAGGACCCAGTCACGGGAAGCATCTCGCCAATCCTGGGAGTCGGGTTGGATGAAAACACAGGTGTCGGGCAGACCTCAGTACTGTGCTCCCACCCTCTCCTCTCTGCCCGGCCTGGCTTCCCCAGCCCCCCAACCCCCCAGCCCCTCCAGCCCGCTACACCCCCCCATGCTCTGGTCCAGGCTGCAAACCACCCCACACCCACCTTTCTACCCTTTATTCCCACTCTGCTCTTACCCCACCTGTGTCTTCCGTCCTGGCTTCCCTGTCCCCTTCCCCTGACTTCCGGTCCCCCACCCCCTGTCGCTCACTCGGTCTGCAGGCCCTAGTTCTCCTTATGCCTCATCTCCCTGCATCTCTGTTCAGTCCCCTTCCTACCTCACCCTCTTGGGTTCCACTGCCAGGTCAGGTGCTTGCACTGGGGGGGCTGCGAGACGCCTCGGGGAGCCTTATGCTGCCTGGTGACAGCTTTGAGGAGCCTCTGAGCAGGAAGACGGTCCGGCTGCAGGGAGTGTCTCAGCGAGAGGGCCAGACAGTGCCCCACATGGGAGGATCACAGGCCCTGCTGGACGCCAATGTGCTGGTGGCCCAGAGGCGAGTGACTGCCGTGCTCCAGAGCTACGGGGAGAGGCCGGGGTCAAGGACACAGGGGCTTCTGGAGGCTGCCATCAAGGACATGAGACAGGCACTGGGCTTGAGTCTGCACCATGCCCTGCAGCAGGCTCGGAGACTGGAGCGGCAGCTGGGGACAGCAGAGGCCATCGTGGCCAGTGGCGGGAAGATAGGTACCTACTGACCAAGACCTAGGCTCTCGGGCCCTGAAATCCCAGGCCCAGAATGCCCTGGTGCCTCAGTGCCCTGAGCTCGTAAGCTAAGGGACAGGACTGCGGCCCCCCCGGTCATGCACACATGGGACCGAGGGAAGGGAGAAGGAGTGTGGTGGCTTCATGCCCGACCCCATGAATGCTCGGCTTGAACTCTGCCCTCTGATCTCTTGCCAATCCCGCTGGGTCTTACACTTAATGTTTGTGAAGTGTATGTTCTCTTGATATTTCAGAGGGCTCCCAATACCATAATGTGTTATGAGACCCATTTTACACCAGGGAGTCTGAAGTTCCTCCATCTCCCTTCTGCCTCCACTAATACAAGGATGGTCAAGGAAAGGAAGTAGGAGGGGCACCTTCCTGGAGCTTACCTCACTCATTCTTTCTAGAAGCTTCTGCCCATGATGTGACAAAAAAGAACCAGGGTTTTGGGTCAGAACTGATTCAAGTTTGAAGCCCTGCCCCACTGTTTAGTAACTCTTTGACCTTGGGCAAGTTACTAGACTTCACTCTGCCTCTGTTTTAACATCTTTAAAATGGGGATAAAAATAGTACATATTTTAGGTTCCACTGTAGGACCAAATAAAATATAATTTGTAAGGAGTTCTTAAGCCCAGACTTCTGGTACATGGTGGGTGCTCAAGAATATTTGTTCCCTTCTCCTTTACCTTTTTAGTGTGGCCTGGAAATTGTTCTCAGCCTCCCAAAAGTCCTGATGCCACTCAGTACCTTCCTCCTGAATTCAAAATGTTAAGTGAGGCCCCAGAGGAAATGTAGTCTTTGTAGGGAAGCTTCTCTGGTCAGGGGTTAGCCCTTTGAGCCTGGCACTTAACCCTAACCCCCCTTCTCTCTGCCAACTCCCCCTTGTGTTAGGAATGATGTGCTATCCTGGGACGGAGCTGTGGGTCCCAGTCTTGTACAGGATGGAGATCCCAGACCCTGAGGGCTCAGGGCTCATGGTGCCCATCCTGGGCATGGAGACTGATGGGAATTCGGGTGACGCCACACCCCTGGCAGGTTCAATGGAAGATGCTGATGGCAAAGGTAAGAGGGAACTGGGGGCCTGCGAAAGCCCCAGGGGGATCAGGAATGTGACTTAGCCCTGGGTGAGAAAGCCCTGGAAAGCTCAGGAGGGATACCCCCCATCCATTTACTCATGAGCCATGGGATGGGGTTATTCTGACGCCTCCACTAGGGCTGCTGAGACCCAAAATAAAGTGCTCAGAGATTCCAGAACCCGAGGACCACAGGTCATTTATCTCCCACTGAGAAAATTGGGTCCTTTCAAAAACCAGCCCTTCAGAACCTCACCCTCAGGGTCTGTGGCCTCCAAGAAACCCTCGAGTCCAGCTCAGAACCTCTCAAGGGTTCTCAGGGTTTATTCGGCTCCCTTCCCACCATGTTTACCTCTTTCCATGACCACCTCTTCCTTCTTTCCCTCTCGCTTTGCCACAGGTCTTGTCCCAATCTCGATTGGGGGTCAAGCCATAGACCCCTTGACCGGGGAACCTGGTCCTGTCATTGGTGCTCAGACAGACCCCTCTGCCGGAGTGGTGGTGCCCATCGTCCAAGTGCTGGAGGCCCTGCCTCAAGGAGTGAGAGACCCTGGTCTGGTTCGTAGGAGCCGTTTATTCTATTCCTTTTTCCATTCATCCAGCAGCTATGTACGAAGTACCCTCTAGGTTCCAGGCACTGAGTTAGGTGTTGAGATGCAGAAGAACTAGACGGGGCTCCTGTCCTCAGGAAACTGGTCGGCCATGGGTTCCAACCATGATCATGGTTTATAAGGGTGTTAAGGGAGCACAGAGGACGGATTCCAAATCACATGCAGGAGAGCTCAAGGAAGGCTTCCCTAAAGAGGCAACACCTGGGCTCAGTCAGAAAGAGGCCTGGGGGGCCAGCAAGCACAAAGGTGACGAACGTGAGACCACGACTGTTCTGGGAGGGTGAGAGGCGGCCAGCAAGGAAGGCAGGAAACAAATCACGAACTGCCTCAGGTGCCTGGCTGAGGCCCGGAAGTGTGCCTTACCATGAAAGCCATGGGGAGCCACTGAAGGATTCTAAGTACACATGTGATATGATCAGATATGAATATTTTTAAGACTTTTAAATTTGGAAAATTTGGCACAATACAAAAAGAAAATAAATTACTCATAATCCTACATGTCTTAACATATGTAAATGAAGAAGCACAAGGTCCCTCCTCCCCATTGCTCTCACCCCATCTGCCATCAGCAGCCCCCCACTAGACACTGCTCACCTCACCCCCTAGTCTCCCACTAAATGCAGCCACTGTTAACGGGTTGGCACATCTCCTTCCAGACATTTTTATGTGTGTGTATGTGAATATATAGTCAGCATTCTAGAAAGTTCCTTCTGGCAGCCGTGCAGAGGATGGATGGGAGCAGGGCCAGCCTGGAGCAGGAAGCCCCGTCAGGAGGTTATTGCAATAATTCAGCCGTTGGCAGGTCTCCACAAAAATGGAAATGACTTAGGTCCTCCCATACATTCTCAGCCCGGTTCATTTCAGGAACAAAGACGGATGTGATGTAAAAGATTCTCATTAGAAGCCAAGACACTTTAATTCTAGCCCCGACTCACAGTTTCACGTCGGAAGGGATGAGATGAAGGGAAGAGAACAGTTTCTACCTGCCCTGGCCTCGCCAGAGAGGCCGGGCATTAGAAGGAGGGAGGAGGGGACGGGGATCTTGAAGCAGGTGCATGGTTATTATTTTTCCACCTGCAACCAAGTCGACTGCCTCACCGATCTTAGTCACGGACACCCAAGGGTGAGGGAGGCCCCTGTCTGGAGGAGAAGCACTGGGGATCTTCAGCCAGACCCCAGGCTATGAGGAGAAAAAGTGTATGAGCCCCAGACAAGCTGGACATTGCAGCTGGACACCCTGGAGAAGGAGCTGAGAGCCCGGGAACAGTACTGGCACAGCCAAGAGCAAGAAGAGATGCGTCTAGCAGAACGCCTGGGGCAGCTGAGCCACGAGCTGCTCTCCATTCCGGGCAAAGATGCTCGGCAGCGGGTGAGGCCCAGAGGCGCCACCTCACCGTCCCCACCCTTTACCCAGACTACACAGGTTTCTCTTGTAAGTGTGGAGTCTTTGTCCCCCCCGCTGACCGCAAAAAATGGAACCCATCTCAAGGCAGACCAAATCCCAGGATTCCCTGGCTCCAGGCCCTAGACTCTGGTCACCCCCTAAGTGTCTCAGGGTGGAGGAGGAGGGGCAGGAGGGGGGAAGGAGGAAGGACCACCATGAGGCGGCCCAGCCCAGAGCTCCCGCCTTCCTCCCTGAGGCCCCTTCCTTTGTGCTTCCTGCCCCATGCAGCTGAGGGCTGCTGAGGAGGCCCGGGCAGCGCTGGAGTCCTGCTGCCTGCAGGAGACCGAGAGGAGAGCCAGAGCCCTGAGCACACAGAGCAGCTCAGAGCGGAGCCCGCTCTCCCAAGGTGGGACAGCATCCCCTGAGCCCAGAGCCCCAGAGCAGAAATCTACTGGGAGTGGGGACACCTCCCACAGCTGCCTGGTGGGGCGTCCCTCTTGCTCTCTGAATGTGCTCACCAGCCAGGCTCCCCCCGCCAGGCCCTGGCTCTGATCTGGCAGGTTCCCCTGGCCCCAATAAACCACTGTGCCTTTTCTTCTTCTCCCTCTCGCCAGGGGCGGCAGCTCTCACATGGCTCTTTTCTCTGCCCCTGCAGCAGACAGAGAGGAGTGGGAGCAGGAGGTGCAGATGATGCTAGGCATGCAGGAAGTCCTGCAGAGTTTAGGACAGACAGCAGAAAAGCTCAGGCAGGCAGTGGGCCGGCTGCGGGGCCAGGAGCAGGAGATGTGGCTGTAGCAGCCTAGGAGTCCGAGGCCCCAGATCTGATAAGAGGACCCATGCGGGATGAGCACATCCTCCTGTGTCGTCAGATGTGGTTCTTCAGGGCAGCATGATATTCAGGAATAGGTGGCCCAAGGAGCAGCGGATGGGCTGGGAGGGGAACAGGAGGAGAGAAAGAAGCTCCATTTTCATTTGGGCGTTTCACTTCCTGTGCTCTAGGTGGTTGAGCATCTCTCTGATGAGTTTCAGGAGGTGGTAAGGGAGAGACAGAACTTTCCGGATAGGGCCCTCGGTCACCTGCAGTACCAGCGGGAACTGAGCCGCCTACACCTCTTGCACACCCAGGTACTGCCTTGGAGTAGGCCATGGAGATCGGCAGGTCCAATTTAGTAGGGGCTTTGGAGAGAAGCTCCCAAAGCAGCCATGTGGGAGCCACGCAGGAACCAAGTTCTGACTCTTTTGTCCTAGATCGTTGCCTCAGGCTCCCCTGCATGTTTGGAGAATTACCCTGGAGACAGATTCTATGGAATGATCCCCACTTCCCTCAGGGCCGGGGCTGCTGCCTGCCCGCTCTTGATCCCCTTCCTGAAGAGCCTCACTGCAGCGCTAGTGGGAGCTCAAGGCCGTGGCCCAGGCCAGGAGGACCAGGGGCCAGGAACAGGTAAGGCTGGTCACTGGCCCAACATTCCTTTCTGTTGTCAGTGCTGATCACGATTGATAAGTTCTAATGCTACAGTCAGGGCTCCTGGCACTGTAAGAGTGCGGTCATGGTAGGTTCTTCAGGAAGAACATAGAGAAACCCAGGGTATTCGTTCTCTATTGCTCTGTAACAAACTACGGGAAAGTTCTGTGGCTTAACACAACAAATATTGATTATTTCACAGCTTCTGCAGGTCAGGTTTCTGGTGCAGCTTAGCAGGGGGCCTGTGGCTCAGGGTCTCCTACAGGCTGCATCAAGGTGTTGGGCTAGGGCTGCAGTCACCTCAAGGTTTGCCTGGGGAATCGAAGTTCTGTCCTGTGGTTTTTGGCCAGAGACATCAGTTCCTTGCCACGTGGACTTCATGGGATAGCTTGCAACGTGGCAGCCAGCTTCCTTCAGAGCAAGCGAGAAGGGGCCAAGAAAAATGGAAGCCACAGTCTTGTTGTATCCTGATCTCATTACTTGTGCCATATGCTATTCATTAGAAATGAATTACTAGATCCAACCCACACTCAAGGGGAGGGGATAACACAAGGGCATAGATACACATCGGAGGATCCTGGGGACCATCTTACGGGCCACCTGTCACATCTGACGCTACACCTGGCTCTTTCTGACTTTAGCCACAGTCCTGGGCCCTTACTCCAACAACTCTCTTCTTCCCCTCTGTTCAGATGCAGATAAAGCTGACATCATGTGGACCTCACCACTCTTTTCTACCCTAGAGAAAGTAGACATCTGGTCCCAAGCCCCCAAGGAAGAAGCTGAACTACAAGGACAGGTGCATCACCTGCTAGGTAACCTCCTTTCCCTGGAGCCCCTGTCTGGAACTATCATGGCCCACTGAAGGTATTTGATGATGTGATCCCCAGGGACTAGGAATATCAAAATCCTGACCTGCCAATCATCTCTTCCTTCCCACCCCCAACTTAAGATTCCCAAGGGCCTTTTCCACGTAAGGAATAAAAAATAGGAATCAATGTCTTACTGTAATAACTTGGCCAATTTCAAAGGGGAAATCCTAAAGACCCTGTGCCTTTCCACTGAACAATGAATCTAAATCTTGGGATTTTACCCCATACTGGCCAGCCACATTTTACAAGGAGTTAATGGAAGAGGGTGAGACACAAGGAGATAGGCAGAGTAGACAAAGAATAGGAAGACCTTGCCCCAAAAACTAAGAAGCATTTTACATTTGTAAATGATTTGGGGGGAAAAGTGAAAAGAAGACTAACGTTCTTATGGAGTGCTTTGTAATGTGTCATGTGATATTCTCAGTCTTTGGATACATTAGCTCATTTAATCTTTACAACAACCCAGCAAAGTAGGTACTTTTACTCATTTTATAGGTAGGGAAACTGAAGCATCTGAATAGGTCAAGTTAGTAGTGAAAAATCATGTTGCTAACAAGGAGTTCAGCTGGAATTCAGTCCCACAGCCTGTGCTCTAAACCTGCTTACCCATGTGAAAAAAGATCCAACACCATAAAGGCAGTGCCTAAAGGGAGATGCAGGTTATTGTGTTGGTGAGTTCCCAGGAGGACAAATCACTGTGTTTCAGAGAGAAGCAAGGGAAGGCACTGCGGGAGAGTGAGACCACGCTTCTACCATGAAGGTGGGAACACTGAATTTGAACCCCAATTTTGCCTCTCAGCTGGCAAAACCTAAAATATTTACTTTCTGACCCTTTACAGAAAAAGTTTTGTTGACCCCAGAACTTAACCAATCTTAGTATTAATTGGGCCTCCCTTTGGGGGAAACTAAGAAGAGTGTAGGCAGAAAGGTGGGTTCTCACCACCACTTCAACCTCCATTGTCTTACAATGATATTGACTTTATAATATTGAAAGCAATTGGGGGATGTCTGGGTGGTTCAGTGGGTTAAGCGTCTGCCTTCGGCTCAGGTCATGATCCCAGGGTCCTGGGATGGAGCCCCGCATTGGGCTCCCTGCTCAGCGGGGAGTCTGCTTCTCCCTCCCTTGGTCCCTCCCCCCTGCCTGTGCTCTCTCTCTCTCTCTCTCTCAAATAAATAAAAATCTTTAAAAAAAAAAAAAAAAAGAAAGAAAGAAAGAAAGCAATTTTATATGCATTGCCTTGTTTACGCCTGGTCACCCAACTCTTAATTCTGTAAGATAACAAAAGATTATTAACCTACTTTTTTTTATAGATGAGAGAGTTGATGCTCAAAGAAGTTTAGTGTCTTTCCCCGGGTCTCCCAGGACCTGGACCAGAACCCAGTCTTCTGGCGGCTAGTTCAGCGTTGTTTCCCACACCATGCTACCCAAGCTCCTTTTCATTGTCTTCTCAAGAATAAAAAGACAATACAATATGTTTCAAGACCTGAGGCCCATTAGAGACAATTCTATGAGGAAGTAAGATCACGATGTTAATCTAGCTAACATTTACTGAGTGCTTACTGGGTGTTAGACACAGTTCTGACTATATTACATTTAGTGTTCCAAACAACCCTATGAAATAGTAGAAGAAAATTGGTTACCATCTTTTCCAGATCCTTGGTTTTTTGTTTTGTTTGGTTTGGGTTTTGGTTTTTCGTTCTGGCACCTCTGTTCCTATTGACTGAGGCTCAATTGCTTTGCCATGAAAATGGCCGCGAGGATCTGAGGCAGAGTACATATAGATATCATGGATGGATGGATGGATCAAAGCAAATACAGCTTTTTCTAAGTTGGATTGTGTTGTTGTTCTTGTTGCTTTTATTAAAAATCATTACCGGACAGAAAAGTCAGTGAAATCGTTGCTGTTTTCTCTTGATCTCTGTAGCCCCCAACAGCTCTTTGCAGGATGTCCCAAAACCTCAGTTAATGCAGAAGGAAGAGCTTATCACTGTGCAACCCACAGACCTTTCTGCCAGGGAGTTCATGGTTTGCCAGTATGACCTCTCCGTCCTGAACCTCCTCATCCCCGAGCTGCATGTACGTCTGGGTTCTGGCCTCTCTGTGGAGCAGTATTCTTGCAGCCAAGAAGGTCAAAGTGACCAGGAAGGAGGCTTTTGGGTGGTGGATATATGTTAGGATTAAGCAGCTGGAATACGGAATTTGCTAGTCTCTCCTATAAAGGGACTGATAGAAGTCATTTTACCAATCTACAGTCTAATCTCTCAAATGATAACAAGTAGAATCAATGAAGTAGTTTGTACATGCCAGAAAATGTTCTAATAACTTGCATGAATTAATTCATTTAATCTTCACAAAAACCCTATGACATAGATACTATTATTTTTTTCAAGTATAATTAACACAGTGTGATATTAGTTTCAGGTGTACAACATGATTCAACAAGTCTGTACATTCCTCAGTGCTCATCATGATAAGTGTACTGTCAATCCCCTTCGCCTGTTTCCCACTCTCCCCTCCCCTCTGACAATCGTGAGTTTGTTCTTTAGGGGTTTTTTTGTTTGTCTCTTCTTTTCTTTGTTCATTTGTTTTGTTTCTTAAATTCCACATATGAGTGAAATCATGGTATTTGTCTTTCTTTGACTGACGTATTTCACTTAGCATAATGCCCTCTAGGTCCTTCAGTGTTGTCACAGATGGAAAGATTTCATTCTTTTTTTATGACTGATTAATATTCCATTTATATCTATATATATATGTATAGCATGTCTCTTTTATCCAGTCATCTCTTGATGGACATTTGGGTTGCTTCAATATCTTGGCTATTATAAATAATGCTGCAATAAACATAGGAGTGCATATATCTTCTCAAATTAGTGTTTTCATTTTCTTTGAGTAAATATCCAGTAGTGGAATTACTGGATATTATGGTAATTCTATTTTTAATTTTTTGAGGAACTTCCGTACTGTTTTCCATAATGACTCACCTGTTTGCATTCCCATCAATGGTGCACAAGGGTTCTTTTTTCTCCACATCCTTGTCAACACTTGTTATTTCTTATGTTTTTTATTTTAGCCATTCTGACAGGTGTGAAGTGGTATCTCATTGTGGCTTTGATTTGCATTTCCTTGATGATGAGTGATTTTGAGCACTTTTCATGTGTCTGTTGGCCATCTGGATGTCTTCTTTGGAGAAATATCTATTCATGTCCCCTGCCCATTTTCAATCAGATTATTTGGTTTTCTGGTGTTGAGTTGTAATGAGTTCTTTATATATTTTGGATATTAACCCCTTATCAGATGTATCATTTGCAAATATCTTCTCCCATTCAGTAGGTTGCTTTTTTGTTTTGTTGATGGATTCCTTCACTGTGCAAAAGCTTTTTACTTTTGTGTAGTCCCAATAGTTTAATTTTACTTTTGTTTCTCTTGCCCTAGGAGACATATCTAGAAAAGTGTTTCTATGGCCAACATCAAAGAAATTACTGCCTATGTTTTCTTCTAGGAATTTTATGGTTTCAGGTTTCACATTTAGATCTTTAGTGCATTTTGAGTTTATTTAAGTGTATGGTGTAAGAAAGTGGTCCAGTTTCATTCTTATACTTGTAGTTGTTCAGTTTTCCCAACACCATTTGTGGAAGAGACCATTTTTGTCCCATTGTATATTCTTATCTCCTTTGTCATAGATTAATTGACCGTAAAAGCATGGGTTATTTCTGGACTCTCTATTCATTTCCATTGATCTATGGGTCTCTTTTTGTGCCAAGACCATACTGTTTTGATTACTATAGCTTATAGTATATCTTGAAATCTGGAATTGTGATACTTCCAGCTTTGTTTTTCTTTCTCAAGATTGCTTGGCTATTTGAAGTTTCTTGTGGTCCCATAGACATTTTAGGATTATTTGTGGTAGCTCTGTGAAAAATACTATTGGTATTTTGACCAAGATTGCATTAAATCTGTAGATTGCTTTGGATAGTATGGACACTTTAACAATATTTGTTCTTCCAATCCATGAGCATGGAATATCTTTCCATTTGTTTGTGTCATCTTCAATTTTCTTCATCAGTGTTTTAAAGATTTTATTTATTTGTCAGAGAGAGACACAGAGAGAGAGCACAAGCAAGGGTAGTGGCAGGCAGAGGGAAAAGCTGGCTCCTCGATGAGCAAGGAGCCCGATGCAAGACTTGATCCTAGGACCCTGGGATCATGACCTGAGCCAAAGGCAGACACTTAACGACTGAGCCACCCAGGCTTCCCTTCCTTCATCAGTGTTTTATAGTTTTCAGAGTACAGGTCTTTCACCTCCTTGGTTAAGTCTATTCCTAGGTATTTTACTATTTTTGGTGCAATTATAGGGACTGTTTTCTTAATTTCTCTTTCTGCTACTTCATTATTAGTTATAGAAATGCAACACTAAATATTAACTTTGTATCCTGTGACTTTACTGAATTCGTATATCAGTTCTAGTAGTTTTTTGGTGGAGTTTTTAGGGTTTTCCATATATGGTATCATGTCACCTACAAATAGTGAAAGTTTTACTTCTTCCTTACCAATTGGGATGCCTTTTACTTCTCTTTCTTGTCTGACTGCTGTGGCTAGGATTTCCAGTGCTATGTTTAATAAAAGTGGTGAGAGTGGACATCCTTGTCTAATTCCTGATCTTACAGGAAAAGCTCCCGGTTTTAACACCATACAATGATGTTAGTTAGCTATGGGTTTTTCACATATGGCCTTTATTATATTTCCTCTTATCTACTTTGTTGAAGATTTTTATCATGAATGAATGTTGTATTTTGCCAAATGCTTTTTCTGCATCTATTGAGATGATCATATGGTTTTTATCCTTTCTCTTGTTAATGTGATGTATCCTGTTGATTGATTTGTGAATATTGAATCACACTTGCACCCCTGGAATAAATCCCACTTGATTGTGGTGAGTGATTTTTTTAATGTATTGTTGGATTCGGTTTGCTAATATTTTGTTGGGGATTTTTGCATCTATGTTCATCAGAGATATTGGCATATAGTTTTGGGGGGCTTGTAGTGTCTTTATCTGGTATAGGTATCAGGATAATGCTGGCCTCCTAGAATGAGTTTGGAAGCTTTCCTTCCTCTTTTGTCTTTTGGAATAGCTTGAGAATAGATATTAACTCTTCTTTAAATGTTCAGTAGAATTCACCTGGGAAGCCGTCTGGTCCTGGACTTTTGTTTGCTGGGAGATTTTGTTTCTGTTTTTGTTTCTGTTTTTTTTAATTACTGATTTGATCTTATTGCTAGTAATTAGTCTGTCAAAATTTTCTATTTCTTCCTGATGCAGTTTTGGAAGGTCATATGTTATTAGGAATTTATCCATTTCTTCTAGGTTGTCCAATTTGTGGGCATATAATTTTTCATAATATTTTCTTATAATCCTTTGTATTTCTGTGGTGTTGGTTGTTATTTGTCCAGGATCATTCATTTCTGATTTTATTTATTTGAGTCCTCTCCCTCTCTCTGTCTTTATGAATCTGGCTAAAGGTTTATCAATTTTGAATTTTGTTAATCTTTTCAAAGAACCAGCTCCCAGTTTCATTGATCTGTTCTAATTGTTTTTTTAGTCCCTATTTTATTTACTTCTACTCTAATATTTATTATTTCCTTACTTCTACTGGCTTTTGGGCTTTGTTTGTTTTTCTTTTTCAAGCTCCTTTTGTTGTAAGGTTAGGTTGTTTATTTGAGATTCTTCTTGCTTCCTGAGTTAGGCCTATATTGCTATGCTCCTCCGTCTTACAACAGCTATTGCTGCGTCCCAAAGATTTGGGACCATTGTGTTTTCATTTTCATTTGTCTCCATATATTTTTTTATTTCATCTTTGATGTGTTGGTTGACCCATTTATTGTTTAGCAGCATGTTATTTAACCTCCATGTATTTGTGTTCTTTCTGGATTTTTTCTTGTGATTGATTTCTAGTTTCATTCCATTGTGGTTAGAAAATATTCATGATATGATTTCAGTCTTTTTTAATGTGTCCTAACATGTGGTCTATTCTGGAGAATGTTCCATTTGCTCTTGAAAAGAATATATATTCTGTTTTTGGATGAAATGTTCTGAATGTATCTGTTCGATCTATCTGGTCCAATGTGTCATTCAAAGCCACTGTTTCCTTGTTGATTTTCTGTCTAGATGATCTACCCATTGATGTAAGGGGGGTGGTAAAGTCCCTACTATTATTGTATTACTATTGATTTCTTCCTTTATGTCTCTTAATAGTTGCTTTATATATTTGGGTGCTCCCATGTTGAGTGCATAAATATTTACAATTTATTACAATCAGCTGTTATTTCTTATATCTCCTTGTTGAATTGTTCCCTTTATCATTAGGTAGTATTCTTTTTTGTCTCTTGTTACAGTTTTTGTTTTAAAGTCTGTTTTGTCCATTATTGATACTGCAGCTTTCTTTTAACTTCCATTTGCGTGATAAATGTTTAACCATACCTTCACTTTCAATCTGTGTCTTTAGGTTAAAATGAGTCTCTCGTAGGCAGCATATAGATGGGTCTTGCTTTTTTATCCATTCAGACACCCCACATCTTGATTGGTGTAATTAGTCCATTTACATTCAAAGTAATTATTGAGGGTATACGAGTAGCTGCATTTCCCTGCCAGAACCTCCAAATGAAGAAATTATTGATAAGTATGTACTTTTGCCATTTTGTTATGTGTTTTTAACGATTGTTTTGTAGTTCTCCATTCCTTTCTTCATTTACTCTCTTTCCTTAGTGATATGCTTGGATTCCTTTTCTCTTCATTTTTTGCCTATTACAGGTTTTTGACTTGTGGTTACCATTAGGTTGATAGATAACGTCCTATGTATATAGCAGTCTATATTAAGTTGATGTTCACTTAAGTTTGAACCCATTCTAAAAGCACTAAAATTTGGGCACCTGGGTTGCTCAGTCAGTTAAGCATCTGCCTTCGGCTCAGGTCATGATCCCAGCGTCCTGGGATCCAGCTGCATTGGCTCACTGCTCACTGGGAAGCCTGCTCCTCCCCCCTCCCTCTGCCTGCTGCTCTGCTTACTTGTGCTCTCTCTTTCTCTCTCTGTCATATAAATAAATAAAATCCTTAAAAAAATAAAAATAAAAGCACTAAAATTTTAATCCCCTCCCCAACATTTTATTTATTTGATGCCATACTTTACATCCTTTTATTTTGGGAATTCCTTGACTGGTTTTTATAGATATAATTGATTTTACTGCTTTTGTGATTTAAATTCTGTACCTGTTTTATAAATGATTAATCTACTTTTATTATGTTTCTATTTACTTATGAATTTTTTTTCCTTTCCTAATTTTATTACACCTGATTACAGCCTTTTCTTTCCACTTAAAGAATTACCTTTAATGTTTCCCATAAGGCTGGTTTAGTGGTGATGAACTCCTTTTACTTTTATTTTTCTGGGAAACTCTTTATCTCTCCTTCTAATCTGAATTATAGCCTTGCTGGATAGAGTATTCTTGGTTGCAGTTTTTTTTTTCTCTTTCAGCATTTTGAATACATCATGCCACTGTCTTCTGGCCTGCAAAGTTCTGCTGAAAAATCAGCTGATAGCCTTATGAGGTTTCCCTTGTATGTAACTATTTTCTTTTCTCTTGATGCTTTTAAAATTCTCTTTATCACTACTTCCTACTACTTTAATTATTATATGTCTTGGTGTGGACCTCCTTGGATTGATTTTGGTGGGTGCTCTCTGTGCCTCCTGGATCTGGATGTCTGTTTCCTTCCCCAGATTGGGGAAGTTATTTCTTCTAATAAGTTTTCTGCCCCCTGATCTCTCTTTTCCTTCTGGGATCTGTGTAATGGGAATGTTATTACACTTGATAGTGTTGCTGAGTTCCTTTAACCTACTCTCATTTATTATTATTATTCTTTTTTGTCCTGTTCAGCTTGGTTGCTTTCCATTACTGTCCTCCAACTCATTTATCTGTTCTTCTGTATCCTTTAATCTGCTGTTAATTCCCTCCAGTGTATTTTTAATTTCAGCTATTGAGCTCTTCATCTCTGATTAGTTCTTTTTTTATATTTTCTATCTCTTTGTTGAAGATCTCCCTGAGATCCTGCCCTCCTTTCTCAGGACCAGTAAGTATCTTTATGACCATTACTTTGAATTCTCTATCAGGCATATTGCTTACCTTCATTTCATTGAGCTCTTTGCTATGATTTTGTCCTGTTGTTTCATTTGGGACATATTCCTTTGTCTCCTCATCTTGTCTAACTCTGTGTTTGTTTCTATGTACTAGGAAAGTCAGCTAAGTCTCCTGGTCTTGAAAGTAGTGGCCAGCAATTAATGCAACTCCTATCAAAATACCACCAGCATTTATCACAGAGCTAGAACAAGCAATCCTAAAATTTGTATGGGACCACAAAAGACCCCAAATAGCCAAAGAAATCTTGAAAAAGCAAAGCAAAGCTAGAGACATCACAACTCCAGACTTCAAGTTATATTTCAAAGCTGTAGTGATCAAGACAGGATGGTACTGGCACAAAAACAGATGCATAAATCAATGGAACAGAAGAGAAAACCAAGAAATTAATCCACAACTATATGGTCAACTAACCTTTGACAAAGCAGGAGAGAGTATCCAGTGGAAAAAGGACAGTCTCTTCAACAGATGGTTTGGGAAAACTGGACAACAACATGCAAAAGAATAAAATTGGACCACTTTCTTATGCCATTCACAAATATAAATTCAAAACAGATGAAAGACCTAAATGTGAGGCAGGAAAACATCAAAATCTGAGAGGAAAACACAAATAGTAAAAAAAAAAAAAAAAAACACAAATAGTAACCTCTCTGACATCAGCCATAGCAACTTCTTACTAGATATGTCTCCTGAGGCAAGGAAAACAAAAGCAAAAATAAACTACTGGGACTTGATCAAAATAAAAAGCTTCTGCACAGTGAAGGAAACAATCAACAAAACTAAAAGGCAACCTATGGAATGGAAGAAGATATTGGCAAATGATGTATCTGACAAAGGGTTAGTATCTAAAATATACAAAGAACTTATAAAACTCAACCCCCAAAAAACAAATAATGCAGTTAAAAGTCAGCAGAAGACATGAATAGTCATTTCTCCAAAGATGAAATCCAGATGGCCAACAGACATGAAAAGATGTTCAACATCGCTCATCATCAGGGAAATGCAAATCAAAACCACAATGAGATATCATCTCACACCTGGACAGAATGGCTAAAATTAACACAGGAAACAACAGGTGTTGGTGAGGATGTGGAGAAAGGGGAACCCTGGTGTAGTGTTGGTGGGAACGCAAACTGGTGCAGCCACTTGAGAAAACAGTATGGAGATTTCTCAAAAAGTTAAAAATAGAACTACCCTAGGATCCAGCAATTGCACTACTAGGTATTTACCCAAAGGGTACAAAAATACTAATTTGAAGAGATACATGTACACCAATGTTTATAGCAGCACTATCAACAATAGCCAAATTATATAAAGAGCCCAAATGTCCATCAACTGATGAATTAATAAAGAAGATGTGTGTGTGTGGTGTATACATCACACATACACACACGATGGAATATTACTCAGCCATAAAAAAGAATGAGATCTTGCCATTTACAATGACATGGATGGAGCTAAAGAGTATTATGCTAAGCAAAATAAGTCAGAGAAAGACAAACACTGTATGATTTCACTCACATGTGGAATTTAAGAACAAAACAAATGAACATGGGGGGGAAAAAGAGGCAAACCAAGAAACAGTCTTAAATATGGGGAACAAACTGATGGTTACTGGAGGGGAGGTGAGTGGGGGGATGGGTGAAATAGGTGATGGGCACTGAGGAGGGCACTTGTGATGAGCACCGGGTGTTGTATGTAAATGATGAATCACTAAATTCTACACCTGAAACTAATATTACACTGTACATTAACTAACTGGAATTTAAATAAACACTTGGGGGAAAAAAGAAAAAAAAGAAATTATATCTTAAGAAGATATTACTGGAAAAAAATAAAAAGAAAGTAGCAGCCATATGAAGAAGAGGCCCAATAGTGCCCTATGGTACAGTGGCCCCTGTTCACCAGACCAGATGTGCCAGGGGTGTCTCCTATGTATGTTGTGTGTACCCTACTGCTGTCCTGAGACACATCGACTTCAGTCCAGTCAGCTGTAATGGCCCACATTGCCTGTTGTGGGCAGGGTTTGGTCCCTATGCTGTTAAGGGGCCTGTCTGGGGCTACCCTGGGCTTGTGGTTGCATCAGACCAGATGCGTGCCCCCAGCTCATTCACTAGCACTGCAGTCACATTGAACTACAGGTTGCTTTCCCTGTGTTGTTCCCTGAGAGACTTTCGTTTGTTGGTGGGGCCTATAGTCAGACAAGATGTCTGCCCCCAGTCCTTCTGTTGGGGTTGCAGTGACCCTGAACTACAAGACTCTCTCCTTATACAGCCCCTTATGAGGTTTTTGTCGGTAGGCGGGATCAGCAGTCAGACCAGATGTCTGCTCCCCGCCCATTGCTGTGGCTGCAGTCAAACTGATACGTGTGGTTATCTCCTCCTCTTGCTGGGGGGTTTGGTTCCCAACCACATCTCCAGCTCTCCTACCCTTTTCAATGTGGTCTCCTCTCTGTGATTAACTGTGAAGACTCTGTTCTACCAGTCTTCGGGTCATTTTCTGGATTAGTTACACTGATGTGGCTTTGATCTAAGTGTATCAATGGGACGAGATGAGCTTAGGATCCTCCTCCTCTGCCATCTTCCCAGGCTCCTATATCTATTTTTTTTTCTCATTTTAAAAGTGAGGTGGGAAAATACAAAGTGATTGAGTTAACTTACCCAAGATTCCACAACCGAAAGGGTAGAGTGGGGTGAGGACCCAGCCATCATGCTCGAGAGCCCCCATGCCTGACTGCCACACTCTATTTAAAAAAGTAATAAATTAATTCTTGTAATTAGCATAAATATTAAACACATAAATACTCTTTGCACTTCCCTGTAATGTATGCTGAATCTTCTTATCCTGTTCCAATGCATTTACTTCCCATTAATTTGGTTGGTGCTGTGTAGCTGAGCCACATGAGAATTGTTTAGCAAGAAGATGGGTCTTGGTTTGGGTTTTATTTGTTTCTTATTCTTTTCAGGCTCCTGAAATCACCCTGCAGATTGCTTCTCGTCTTCCTGCGATGGATGCTTCAGACAATGCCTTCCAAGGCTCCTTCTTCTATCAGGTGATACAAATTCAGTTCCAGATGAGGGTTTGTAAAATTCTAGGGTCTCAAAAGGAGCAAAAAGACCAAATGTTATAAAACATTTTTCTCTAAGTCCTGACATTCTTTATCCCCCTTGGTAATAAGTCATTTAGTAAGGCATAATAAATGTCACCATGTAAAAGCTTTCTCCAATTAGTGAAATGAATATGTCCTGGCCAGGAGAATCATAATGGCTTTGTGCCCCTTACTGAATCTCTGTCATCAAAGTCGATGGTTCCAGACTGGTGTTTCCCGTAAGAGTCATGGTTCCAGCTTCAGCAGATCCTGCACAATCAGCATCTTTCTGCAGAAAGGGATTGAAATTGTTCCTGTCCTTGCAGTTCCTCAAATATGTAGGATTGGCAGTGCCTTGGTGACAGCCCAAAGCCAGTGTACACAGACCTTAAACACTGAGAACAGTTCATTGGTAAACAGTGATTTGAGAGGGGCACTGCTAACCAATCCTAGAGGACTAGGAAGCCGTTCGCACTTGACTAGTTGGTTTTTAGGGGATGTCATAAGACCAAAAATTACTCTTTCGTTGCACCCTCCAAGCATCCTTTCACTTGATCCTCAAAGAAATCTATGAAGTAGGCAAGAATTTAATCCCATTTTACTGACAGGGAAGCCAACTCAGGATTCATTGAGTACTGTGTGTCAGGCACTTGGCCATGCACCTTACACGTGCTATATCATTTACAGTTTATAACAACCCAACCCTAGGGGGTGGGTGTTCTTGCTGTCTCCATTTTATGAAGTAGGAGATTGAGGCCCATTGAGACCAAGTGACTTTCCTAAGATCACAGTGTTAGCAAGAGTTTAAACTCAAGTTCTAAATTCAACCTCCTTTTTAACCACTGTTCTGTGTCGCTACCCAGAGCTCATTCCAGGGACAGATCTCAGACTATCTGGCTCGAAATTACCTAATGCTTTTCCATGCCAACCTATTGCCTGAACAAGAGAGTTATTTCAAATCAATTAGACAAGACAGAATATTTAAGAACCTGATTACAATAAAGATATGAAAGACAAAGTCAGAGAGCCCTATAAGGCACCGATTCTCAGACTGTGGTCCTTGGACCTCATGGGTCAACCACCGGGGAAGTTTGGTAAACATGGAAATGCCAAGGACTCCCCTAAAGCAGCCCACAGAACCAGAATTCTGGGATGGGCCCCAAGAATAGAATCACTCCCTTGTGATTTTTATCCGCAGATACAGTTTGAGAACCACTACTTAAGGAAACGGTGATTGGAGGACATCAACAAAAAAACAGAGATGCATGAGTAACTTCGCTCTGAATTTCTAGTAGTTTATTTTCTGTACCACGGGGGTAGCAAAAACTGGAGGAACAGTGGGGAACATGATTTATTCAGGGAGTTGAACTAAAGCAATACTTTATCCCTCTACATCTGAATCTTTCCTTCTGTAAATTTCCATTAACCCCAGGGAGTCTCTGACTTTATGATTCCAAAAGTTATTTTAAACCACATAAAACTAGGAAGAGAAAAAGGTAGTGGAAACATTCCCTGAGGTTGACATCTCTGTGTTTGGGTATCTCCTCTACTCAGAGCACTGAAAACACACTGTTTGTTGGGAGAGAGTCTTTGGCGTCTGCGGGGAGTTTCATTCTGCTGCTGATCCACTGCCTGGCCCACATCGCCACCGAGGACTTCCGCCAGGATGCAAACCCTGCCTTTCTGAGGTCATTTTACAAGGTATTTATAAAATGCATGGGGCGCTTAGCTTCGCTCCCAGAATAACAAATTCTTTAAGCTGTGCAATATTTCAAAGCTACTTAGGTCCCATTGTTGGCCTCTGGTTCCTACTGCCTGGCCAGGAAGAAGGTTTTCCTGATCAAATTTCCTGTGGCAGCATATAACAAAATGCATGCACCCCTCTGTAGGAATCAGAGAGAAGTGGTCTTCCTATAAGAAAGGCATCCCAGCTTTCTGGGCTTACTCCCTTGTCGATACATAAGCCTCACCAGAATTGGAAATGACAGTCATAACCCGTGGTAAGGGCAAGTAAAGATGATCCATACCAAGCCCCATTTTTCTTTCAACTATAATTTTGAAGCTTTAATAGCAGTTACCTAGAATGGAACTGATCTGGCCCCCCCGCCGTTTCCTTGACCAGGGCCTTCGGGCTTATTTTGGGGAAGCATTCTCAACCACACTGCGGGTGTCTGCGATCTCCTGGGACAGTAAGCTTGACCAGAGCATAAGCGCTACTCTGCGGGACGAGCAGCCCATCTCTGAAAGAGGAAGAGATCTTCTCTTTTTACTCCTTGAAAGGAAGTGTGAGTCTTGCTTGGAGCCTGAGTCATCGGAAGAGGTAACCAATTTTAACTGGTGTAGCATATGTCCGTTAAAAGTTGACTTCTTCACAGAGTCAGTGCCTCAGTGTCTGACCTGTTCAGATATTTCTGGCTTCCCCAGGTGGCACACTGCCTTGACACTCAGCCTGCTTCTCAAACCACATATGACAATATATTTTTTAATCCTGTATTCTACAAGGCAGACAGTGGGTACCCGGCTCTTTGAGTTATGGGGATTACAAATGGGGCTCCGTAGTTACTTAACTCATGTCTCACTAACATATCAATTTGCAGAATTCCATCTATAAAACTCACTGTGACTCAGTAATTAAATTTAGATGCCCCGGTGGTAGCCTATTTACCGAACTGCAGTGTGTTGTTTTCTGTGCAAGCCTGAAAAGGATATTCTTTTTTTTTTTTTTAATTTTTTATTGTTATGTTAATCCCCATAGATTACATCTTTAGTTTTAGATGTAGTGTTCCATGATTCATTGTTTGTGCATAACACCCAGTGCTCCATGCAGAATGTGCCCTCCTCAATACCCATCACCAGGCTAACCCATCCTCCCACCCCCCTCCCCTCTAGAACCCTGTTTGTTTTTCAGAGTCTGTCCTCACTCATGGTTCGTCTACCCCTCCGATTTCCCCCCCTTCATTCTTCCCCTCCTGCTACCTTCTTCTTCTTCTTTTTTTTTTCTTAACATATATTGCATTATTTGTTTCAGAGGTACAGATCTGAGATTCAATAGTCTTGCACAATTCACAGTGCTTACCAGAGCACATACCCTCCCCAGTGTCTATCACCCAGTCACCCCATCCCTCCCACCCCACCCCCCACTCCAGCAACCCTCAGTTTGTTTCCTGCGATTAAGAATTCCTCATATCAGTGAGGTCATATGATACATGTCTTTCTCTGTTTGACTTATTTCGCTCAGCATAAGACCCTCCAGTTCCATCCACGTCGTTGCAAATGGCAAGATCTCATTCCTTTTGATGGCTGCATAATATTCCATTGTATATATATACCACTTCTTCTTTATCCATTCATCTGTCGATGGACATCTTGGCTCTTTCCACAGTTTGGCTATTGTGGACATTGCTGCTATAAACATCGGGGTGCACGTACCCTTTCGGATCCCTACTTTTGTATCTTTGGGGTAAATACCCAGTAGTGCAATTGCTGGATCATAGGGTAGCTCTATTTTCAACTTTTTGAGGAACCTCCATACTGTTTTCCAGAGTGGCTGCACCAGCTTGCATCCCTGCCAACACCTGTCGTTTCCTGACTTGTTAATTTTAGCCATTCTGACTGGTGTGAGGTGGTATCTCATTGAGGTTTTGATTTGGATTTCCCTGATGCAGAGCGATATTGAGCACTTTTTCATGTGTCTGTTGGCCATTTGGATGTCTTCTTTGGAAAAATGTCTGTTCATGTCTTCTGCCCATTTCTTGATTGGATTCTTTGTTCTTTGGGTGTTGAGTTTGATGAGTTCTTTATAGATTTTGGATACTAGCCCTTTATCTGATATGTCATTTGCAAATATCTTCTCCCATTCCTGACAAGGATATTCTTAATATTGTGTTATTTAAAGTGCCTTTATGAGAATACTATCATCCAGCTTTTTAACTATTAAAAACATGTGTGATCTTAAAATTGTCATCCTCCATTAAAGATCAATTCATTCTTGAGTTACAAACAAGAGCACCTTCTCTCTCATTAGTTATATAAAACTTTATACCTTTCAAAGCAGTTTTATGTACATATTGTCTCATTTGATCCTACCAGCAATCCTGTAGAATAGGTAAGCATGTGTATTGTTTTTGGTAGCATACATATTTTTAGTCACATTTTGTATTTAAGGAGAGAATAAACTATTTGCCCCAAGTCATGAAGCTATTTGTAGTGGCAGATCTGGGATCAGATTCTAGATCTCCTAAGTAAATTTCCATAAACACCTCTCTATGATCAGATCCCCATTAGTTACCAAGTCAGAGATTTATTTTGTGATCATTGATGGTCATAGTGATGGTGACGGTGATGGTGATGGTGGCCATCCAGACCCCAGAATCAGTCACACCCCAGCTCCCACAGACCCCAGGGAATGCTCAGTTCTCTCTCCTCCTCTGACAGAGGCATCGGACACATCCACTCACTTCCTCCTCCTCAGTACAGTCTTTACTTGGCTCCCAGGACACCAGCATCCTCTGGTTTTCTCCTACCTGTTTGGCTATTCCTTCACAGTCTCCTTTGCTGATCCCACCTCTTCTCCCAGGCCTCTTTGTGTAGGAGGGCCAGCGTTCAGTCTTGTCCTCTTCTTTTCTCTGGCTATATCCGCTCCCCTTGGGGATCTCATCCCATCTACTAGCTTAAACCCTATCCGTATGTCAAGGACCCTCAAATTTTTATCTCCAGCCCCACCAACTCTCTAACTGAACCCATGTCCTCAACCGCTTATAGCCACCTCCATTTGTAGGTCTAAGAAGCATCTCGAACTCAACATGCCCCAACCATCCTCTGTCCAAACCTCCTCTACTCGAAACCTTCCCCATCTCAGTTGATGGCAACTGTTTCTTCTGTTTTTTCAAGCCAAAATCTTCCTGGAAACCTCTCTGTTGCAAACACCCCATAACCAATCCATCAGGAAATCCTATTGCTCTATTTTCAGAATAGATCCATAATATGACCACGTCTCATTGCCTACAGTGCTCAAAGCCTGGTGCGAGTGCGCATCATCCCACCTGGATTCCTGTAATACTTACTAACTGGTCCCCAATTCCAACCTTGCCTCTCCTCAGTCTGTTCTCAGCACAATGGTCACAGTGATCCTTGTCAAATGAAAATGGATCAGTTCAAACTCCTGCTGTGGCTCCTCATCTCACTTAGAGTCAAAGCCAAGGAAGCCAAGTCCCCTTGTCTCCCACCCCTTCACCTGCCACTCTTCCCCTTGGTCACTCATCTCCAACCATGCTTTCCTCCTTGCTGGTCTTCAGACACACCCGCTGCACTCCCCTCTGCCTGCAACGGCAATGGTTCTCAACCAGGAGCAATTTTATCTCCCACAGGACATGTGGCAATGTCTGCAGACATTTTTGATTATCCTATGCCTTGGAGAGGGCTGCTACTGTTAACTAATGGATAGAAGCCAGGGATGCCACTAAACAGCCCACAGTGTGTAGGACAGCCCCCACAACAAAATACTACCCACCCCAGAATGTAAGTGGTGCTGAGATTGAGAAACCCCGGGCTAAGGAGTTAGAGCATGCACAACTCCCTTACCTCCTCCATGTCTTTGTTGAAATGTCACCTCCTCCCTGAGGCCTGCTCTGACTCGCCCATCTCATTCGCAACCCTCTTTTCTCCTGTTCATCAGCTTTTCCTTACTCTGCTCTACTTTTCTTTCTCCTATATGACTTCCTAATATACTACATAATTTACTCACTTAGGCTTGTTTATTACTTTTCTTCCCTGATAGAACATCAGCTCCATGAGGTCAGAGATGTTTGTCTGCTTTGTTTCCTGAGGTAACCCCCATGCCAGGCTCGTAAGGAGGCTTTCAGTATATTTACCATATTAATGAACAGGTTTGTAAGGACCCTGATGCTCTTATATACTGAAATATTCCAGTCTACCAGAGGTAACTACAAGGCAGGTCAGAGGAAACATTTATTACTTACTTGCCATGTGCCAGGTCTTCTGCTGGGAGTTCTACATGCATCATCTCATTTAATCTGCCCTATGCCCTTATAAGCTAGATGCTACTTTTATTCCTAACTTACAGATGAAAAAACTGATGCTTAGGGGGTGCCTGGGTGGCTCAGTTGGTTAAGCGACTGCCTTCGGCTCAGGTCATGATCCTGGAGTCCCAGGATCAAGTCCCACATCGGGCTCCCTGCTCAGCGGGGGGTCTGCTTCTCTCTCTGACCCTCCTCTCTCTCATGCTCTCTGTCTCTCTCAATAAAATAAAATAAAAAATCCTTAAAAAAAAGAAAAGAAAAAACTGATGCTTAGAAGTGTTAAAAACTTGCCCAAGACAGAGGTTGCTGTGGAGCTGGAACGCTAGTCCTCTGTCAACCACCATCTATGGAGAGGTCTTGCTTTTATTTCAAAGACAGAATTGTATGTACTCTGCTCAGGTCCAGTCTAAGAAGATCCAGGAGTACTTAAGAGAAATGGGAGCAAAGGTATTAACTCTGTCCTCCACACTCTCCACAGTATAGAAAGAGAAACACGGATCTTCTCCTCTTCACCAGTATGGAACATTTTCTAAAATCCCTCCTCCCGGCAGAACAGCAGATCCCAAGAAAAGCAAGAGATCAGCATGGGGACGAAGAGAAGGTGAGATGCCCTTATGATCCACAGCATTAAGACTGTCCTTCACTATACACCTTGAAGCACTTTATCATGTGTTTGGAGTCACGTTTGTAATTGAACATGTCAGCAGAACAAAGGATTGGAAATCAATGGTGGCAAGAAAAGCTACATCATCTGTCACTTTATTTAAGAGTTTTCCCAGTACGGGAGATGGTAGATCTTAGATCTCAGAGTTAGAAAGGAAGAGATCACAGTTTAATCTCTCTGCCTTCAGGCAGGTAAAGCATTAATTAATCCCAGAGAGTGGGAACTGAGACTCAGACTAGCCCCCGTCCACCCAGCTGGAAGAGGGCAAGAAGTAACTAGAACTGGGGCCCTTGCCTTCTCATTCAGGGTTTCTTTCATTATGATACCTGCTGCTGTTGTATAAAGGGTTGTTTGTTTTTTATCATAAGCATTAAAATGTTATATCTTTAGGGGCACCTGGCTGGCTTAGTCAGTAGAGCGTGTAATTCTTGATCTCAGGGCCGGGAGTTCAAGCCCCATGTTGGCCATGTAGCCTACTTAAAAAAAAAAAAGTTATATTTTTAAAAACCAACAAATATTTTGGTTCCAAATGACCGACACTAATATTTTGTAAGGTATATGTATAATTAGCAAAGAGAAAAACCCCAAAAACCTTCATTTTTCTCATGCAGAGATGTGACGTTGCATGTCAAGGTCAAGATCACCAGCTAGCACCCCGGAGAAATAACTGAACACTGACTTCAGCCCTGGGCCCCAGTCCACTTTATGAAAAGTTATCACCCATGTCTGGGGTGAAAACTACCTTTAAAACTTTATTAAAATATAACACAGCTTTTAAAAGTGCACGTATCATAAATGCACTCCTCACAAATCATCCAAAGTGAACATTTCCATGTAACCAACATCAAGAAAGACAACATCACCAGTCTCCCAGAAGTCCCCCATGTCCCCTCCTTCCGGTCATTGGCCCCCCGAGAATAACCACTATCCTGACTTCAGACATCATCAACTGTTTTTGTTTATTCATGAACTTCACATAAACAGAATCATAAATTATGAATTACTTTATCATTCCTTTTGTTGAGCATCATGTTTGTAAGGTGTATACATATTGTTGCATGTAGTTGTAGTTTGCTGATTGTCTTTGCTATAAAACATTCCATTGTGTGGATATATCAACATTTATTCTTTCCACTACTAATATTAGTGCCTGTGGGTATTTTCTAGTTTGGGGTTATTACAAATAGTCTTGTGCACCTTTTAGTGACTATATGTGGCTGTACCAAATAGATATTACTTAGAACTGGAAATTCTGGGTCTTAATGGGTGGATAGTTCTCTCCTTAGCAGATACTATCAACGGGACTTCCAAAGTGATTGTATGAATATAGACTGCCACCAGAAGGGAGTAAGGGTTCTGGTCACTCTCCATTTTTATCAACACTTAGAATGTTCCATCTTTTTTATTTTATGCATTCTTCTGGGTACGTGGTTTTAACTTGCACGTTCCTGATGGCCTCTGAAACTGGGCACCGTCCATGTGTTTATACACATTTGAGTGTCTTCTCTTGAGAAGTGCCAGTCAAGTATTTGCCGATTTTTCATTGGATTCCCAATTTAATTGATTTGTAGGAATTCTTTATTCTGCAACTATTTTCCCTCATTCTGTAGATTGCCTTTTTATGAAAATAACTACATATAATATTTCTTTTTCTGCTTCATTTTTTGATCTAGAAAGAAAATGGTGATCTCATTTCAGTCTGCAGTTTAAAAGATGTTAAATATGGAAATATGATATCTAATAAGGTTAATAAGAGAATTTTTTAAATACCTGTAACATTGATGTGTCAATCACATAAATGTATACCTCAACCTTGGGTAGATATATAACAGAGGTTAATATTTGGCACAGAGGATAACATGCATACAATGGGACTAAGAAATCATTAGATCACATATTTTATTAAAATATTCATTATTTAGAGATACTGACTGAACCTCTTTCTAGAAATGTAAATTTGCATATATTGTCATTTATCAGGCTGATTAACTTATCTGAAATTGTCTGCTACTGAATCACACAAAGTAGTTAGATATATTTGCACAATATTTGGTGATCTGGAATGAGAATTTAGAGATCTGGCAATAAGATACAGGCCATGTGGCCTGCACAGAATTCCCTGTGGAAGCTCTGGTTGGAACACTTCAGAGAAATAAACAGTCATCTGAAACAAGTTTGAGTGCTGATCAGGAGAGACACAACCATCTCATGAATTCAATGGAAGCCAAAACATTTTTCTTCAAATACAAACTTCAAATCAAAAGCCGGCTCAAATGACAAACCCAATGCCAGCAATTCAAGCTGCTTCTCACATGGATAATTCTCTGTATTATACTCCAAGATGAGTAGCAGAAGGAATTTTTCTTTTTTACATAACAATTGTTATTGAGTCTTTCAAGCAAAGCAACAAAGAAAGACTAGTCAAGAAAACTTGACAAACATTATGTGTGTGGATGATGAATGGTAACTAGCGAATTCAGTATCCACATCATATTCAAAAGTTTTAGCACTATGCATCTTTTGTCATAATGATGAGATGTCCATACTCAACTGAGGATTTCACTCTAAATCCAACCAAAATACTAATGCTCAATTACTTTAGGGGAAATAAATTATAACTAAAAACACTGGACGACTGTGAAGACAAAAAGATTTACAATTCAGATTTAACAAAGAGTTTTAAATCCAGCCATGAGGAGATCTCAGATTCAATTCACTACACTGCCATCTTACGCAGATGCTGAGTCCTCATTTCTTTGCTGCTAGAGGTTGACCACTTCATCATCTTAAATAATCACTCAGTTTAAAACACTAGCCAACAGGTAAAGTAAGTACCAAATTTGTCAGCCTTAAAACTGTTTCATTAGTTACTAGCTCAATTAAAACTCTCTGCTCCCTTCCTAGCACAGATACCAATAAAATGTAGTTGCCCTAAGAATGGACTATGAGATACCCATTCTCCTGTCTCTTCCATGAACTGGGAATTCATAAACAAAGAACACCCCCCAAATCAAAGCAGAGTAACTTCATAAGATTAAAGACGTCTCCAGTACTTTTAGAAGAAGGTAAATCTTAGTTAGATATGATAAATACTGAGTGTGTATCCTCAAGAACTTTAGCTATTCACATAAATTATGAGATGCATTTCCCAAAAAGCAGAGTGAAATTAATTAAGCCAGACACACAAGACTATTTAGAGTCATTAGGCCAAGAGGTGGCAAAGAAAAAGTCATGCAGAAGTTAAAGATCTTTCTTCTGTATCCCTCATTCTCGGCTGAGTGAGGCACCTGCCAAAACATGATCCCATTAGCTTCCTGGCTAACTTCTTGAGCCTTCCATCTGATCCCATTATTAATATACTAACAGCTGCAGGCTTTTGGTAAGCACATGCTCTTTAATGGAAATGCCACAGATTACAAGGCAGAGATCATGATCTCTTTTCTGCTGCATTTTGTGCTGTTATTGCTGTTTCTGTTTAAAATTGTTTTTAAAATTATTCTTTTATTTCAAAAGTGGTACACAGGCTTCTGCTTCCAGGAAATGGAGTAGGCATACCTTTCCCTACTCCTTCCATCAAGTAGAACTAAAATTCTTGGACATTATGTGTTAAAACAAGGAGATTCTGAAAGTAGAGAAGAGAATAGACAAGCCAAGGACCTCAATACCCAAGGCAGGAAGTGGTGGTAATTCCAGATATTCTCTTATTCCCTCATGTATTCTAGACTTGGAAATGAAAAAAACAGCAATCCATAAACACCAATGGGCACAGAACCAAAAAGCTCCCCTAAAGCACACTCTCTAGCAAAAGGACTGAGAAAAGGGCAGCTTGGTGGCACCTGGGTGGCTCAGTCAGTTAAGCAACCAGCTCTTGATTTCAGCTCAGGTCATGATCACAGGGTCATTGAGATTGAGCCCTGCATAGGGCTCTGCACTCAGCAGGGCATCTACTTGAGATTCTCTCCCTCTGCCCCTTCCCCCCAACTCTCTCTGTCAAATAAATAAATCTTAAAAAGTGGGGTGGGACAGCATAGCAAGACAGAAAACCTTTAAACAGTAACTGCTTTACTCCAGCCAAGCATCACAGGAAGAAAAACAACAACAACCCTGGCTCCACCCACATCAGCAAAAGTTGAGTGAGAAGTCTAAACTTCCACCTTGCCAGGCTATATAATTAGGCATCCCAACCTCCTCCTGGGATGTCGTCAGAGAAGACCATGCAGAGAGCTAGGAATCTTCATCTTTTCATCCCTGCAAGGCAGTTACAAATCCCCCTCCTCTTCAGTGTCAGGGCAGACCACATGGGGAATCCGGACATCTACCAACATATGGTAGTAGAGTCCCCTCCCTACCACCTCCCCGCTCGAGTGGTATCAGCAAAGGCCACGTGGAGAGTCAGGACTTCTCCCACTGCCCGTCGGCAATGAGGCCAACCTCAGCAAAGTGTTCCTGCAAGCCACATGAGGAGCTTGAACTCCCATACCTGCCCAGCAGGTACGAGCAACCCCTTCCTTAGGTAGCGGTGGAGAGCAAGTGGGGAACCTGGACTTTTAGCTACCGCCAGGCAGAAACAAGGCAGCACCACCCCACCCCCCCCCACCCCCGCTCCCCTCTCCCACCACCAGTGGAATGGTGTCAAAGGAAATCAGCTAAAACAAAGTTTAAATAGGACCCCAAGTCTTATAATGTCACAAAATGTACAGGTTTCAGGCAAAAATCATTTATCATAGTAAGAACCAGAAAGATTTAAAAAAACTGCGTGAAAAAAGGCAATAAACAGGTGCCAACACCGAGATGACAAAGATATTAGAGTTATAGGAAAAAATTTAAAGAAGCCATCACAAAAATGCTTCAACAATTATGGACATGCTTGAGATAAATGAAAAAATGGGAAATCTCAAGAAAAAAAAAACCATAAAGTCACAGAAGAAGAAAGAGAAGACAAAAAAATCCAATGAACATTTTAGAACCGAAAAATATAAAAGCCAAAATAAAAAGTTCACTCAATGGGCTCAACAGTAAAATAGAAGGGACAGAGATGGGGAAAGTCAGTGGATTTTAGACAGAATGATAGAAATTACCAAATCTGAACAGCAGAGTGGGGAAAAGACAGAAGAAATGAATGTGTAGAGCCGCAGGGACCTGGGACACTATAACAAATGACCTAGCATTCAAGTCGTCAGACTCTCAGGAGGAGAAGACAAAGAGGGCAGGCTATACAAGTACTCAAAGAAAGAATGGCTGAAAACTCCCCACATTTGGAAAGAAGCAAATCTACAGATTCAAGGAGCTGAATGAATCCCAAGTAGGATAAATAAATTAAAAAAAAAATCCACACCAAGACACATCATAATTAAACTTCCAAAAACTAAAAGCAAAGAAAAAAATCTTGAAAGCAGCCAGAAAAAAAAAAAAAAAAGACAGCTATAGAGTTAAAAATGTGAATCACAGCAGATTTCTCATTAGAAGCCATAGAAACTAGGAGAAGAGGCACTACATTTTTCTAGTCCTGAAAGAAAAAAAGGATAAATCCAGAACCCCAAAGTCTGGCACAAACATGGGGAAAGGAGATCACTCATGCATTGCTTGTGGCAATATGAAATGGTACAGCACTCTGTAAGACAGTCTGGCAGTTTCTTAAAAAACTAAACATGCAACTACCATATGACCCAGCAATTACTCTCTTAGGCATTTATCCCAGAGAAATAAAAATTTATGCTCACACATTGTGTATATATGAATGTTTATAGCAGTTTTATTCATCATCCCTCAAACTAGAAACAACCCAGTTGTCATTCTTCAACATACAAATGGTTAAACAAATTGTGGTATATCTGTTCCACGGAAGACTACTCAGCCGTATAAGGAACAAAATACAGCTTCGTGCAACAATCTGGATGAATCTCTGGAGAACTAGGCTTTAGTGAAAAAAAAAGCCAATCCCAAAAGGTAGCCTATAGTAGGATTCCATTTATAACATTCTGGAGACGGCAAAATTACAGAAATGGGGGATAAGAATTTAGTGGTTGTCAGGGGGTTGAGGAAGGGCTGGGAGCGGGAGGAAGTGGGTGTGGCCATAAAAGGGGACGATGGAAATGTTCTGTATCCCAACTGCATCGTGTCAGTATCTCTTTGTAATATTATAGTATCGTTTTGCAAAATGTTACCACTGGTGAAAACTAGGTAAAGGGTACACAGGGTCTACCTTTTAAAAGCATGTGAATCAATAGCTCTCTCAAAAAGTTTAATTTTTTAAAGAAAAAAAGTGGTACATACTCATAGAAAATTTCAAAATCCAGATTAGGAAGATCTAATTTGGTTATTATACTTATATTCTAATAGACACAGTATTCATTTATTTGGGGGTTTTTCAACTGTATTGATCACTTTTAATCAAAGCAAGAAATATATAGTTCATTAAATTTTCCCCTATACCCTTGTCTCAGGGCCACATGGGAAGCTTTAAAAAATTACACAGGGCTCTAAAGCTCATGGATGGCTCCCTCTGGGCCAATCATCAATCGTGGTGGAATTGATTTCTTTTTGAGTCCCCACTTGGAACAATTCATTTTAATGGTTATGTCTGGTACTGTGTGCACAGAATTTTGATGTCATCCGTGCACCCAAATAAGAATATGGTGACTCATTAGTGAGGTCCATCATGGCATGGATCACAGAAGTGGTAATATACATGCCACAGATTTATCCTCTCTGTTGGCTGGAAGTAGTTTTGTTTTTTGGTTTAAAAAAACAAAAACAAAAAACCTCACACACTTCAAGAGACAAGTGTTAATAAAATCCTCTGTGCAAAGGTTCTTAGAAACCCATTCTTCTATCACATCTAAGTATTTTGTTTTTACATATAGTAACTATTTTATACAGTTTTCACTTTCTAGTCACACTATACATGGGAATAACTCCTACAGAGAGTTGCTCATTGAAATCCAAAATAACATCATTATGGCACTAAGAAACAGGTAAGAAACGAAGACTAAACAGGACTGAGAATAAAACTGGCAGAAGACTTAAGATAATCATGGTTTAAAAAAATGAAAGATACTAAAGCAATCAGATAAATAGTTATGACAAACAAAGAAATGATCCAGCATCTGGAGAGTTGGTATCCCTAAAATGGATGGACCGATAAAGTATTAAAATACTGTAGATTGCTCTAGAAAAATAAAATCTGCAGATCAGAAAGGAACACAATATTTTGGAGGAAACTGGTAGAATGACTGACACATGGACAAAGACTTCCAGTATAAAGAAAAGGTTTTCAGACTGGCAGGCAAAGGAAGTCACCTAAGAAAGTAAAACTCATGTTGGTGTGAGTGGCGGGGATTTGGGGAAATCAAACTGGTCTCCAATTTCTCCACAGTATCGTGCCAAAGACAGTTTCATGTGAGATCTATGAAATTGTAAGAGAAAGAAAGCATGACCTAAGATTTTAATACTCACTTAACTGGTCCTTGGGGGAAAAAATTAAGAATGCTTATTTCTGCAGCTTGCATAGCAACAAATACTACTGTATAAAATTGAAAAACAAAGTTTTAAAGATAAGTTTCCAGATTCCTAGTGTTTAACTCCAGGGAAATCTTTCAGGGAATAAAATACTTTGTGGTAGAAAAATTTATGAATATTTCACCTTAGGTATCTTTGTTTTGCTAAGATACTTGAATTTAATTTTTAATTTTAGTTACTTGTTTAGCTCCTATCATATGGTTTTTCTTATTAAATTGTGTATCAGTTCTTACATCTGTATACATATATAGCATGACTGTAAAAATGGTCACCATTTAATGTTAATAATGATAGTTTCTGGATGGATGGTAGGGATTTTTTTCTTGGTGGTACATTTTTTTGCTTAGCTTAATTTTTTTTTTAAGTTTTTAATTTTAATTCCATTAGCTTGAATCCTTATAATGGACAGGTGTCACTTATAAAATAAGTCATAATTAAGTCTATTAAGAGGTTTAGAAATAGATCAAAATTTTTAAAAGACACACAAACAAGGGAATTTTGTATCTTAAAGAGTAATTTTAAAACAAACTCCTAGCGGCCTTGTGAAATAGAGCAGCAATGATGGGTAACAGAGTGTGGCCAGGAGACCGTATCATGGGGATCACACTTCCCCAGGTGAAGGTCTACCTGCCTTAATGGCTAATGAAGAAACACAAACTTTCGAAGCTTTCTTGCAAAAACACTGAACTAGAAAAGGTATTAAAAACATAGTATGTTTATTTAAACTGTTACTTTTCATAATTCATTGAATCTTATCACAGGTCAATATCTTCATTCTATTACCTTACTGAATACATTCATTAGTGTTACATAAAACTTCACATAAAATTAAGTAAGAGTTAAAAAGTACAGCTAAGAACATAGTCATGATCTGTGTGAGAGGATTCACCATTATGCCACCCTAGTCCCTGATGGGATTACTTTTTCTGTTTCATGGGCCTCTCAACCTTAAACTCCCTTTTGTTTTAAAGAAAATGAAGCAGCTCCTCTGAGCTCCATCCCACCGAGTGCCCAGCCACTGCATTATCGGTTCATGTTGACCCAGTGGTACCTGTCCACCCGGGGGACAGGAGCAGGCCTCGGACCCTTGGGATTTTTATGCAGTGCATGATAAGTGTTCCCTAGGAGGCCCATGCGGCCATCTGCCATATTCTTTTTGCGGGAGACATGGAACCAAGATTGAAAGGGCTGTTCCAAGTTTTCAACCTGGAAAAAAAAAATAAAAAAGGTATGAAGATCATCTCTAAAGTAATAAGCTAGACCGAAATACTAAACACAAACCCATAACTCAGAAGCTAAGCCTTTAAAAAGCATAGAGAGTACAAATGAATAGAAATCAAAGCAGATGATGATCCTTGGAAAATTGTCTAGCATGGGGGGGGGGTAATAAAGTCATGTCATACCTTTTAACAAAATTAAATCTTTAATCCAACTAAAATACTTAAAAACACATCTTCAAATTTGTGTATATTCTTGGGTTCTCTTCTACCCACCCCTCCCCTCACTGGCTTAACCCAAAACTGTCTAATCGTAACCTCTAGGGCTGAGGTCTAGAAATATCCATTTTCAACATCCCAAATGACCAATACAGATGTTTTGCAGACCACACTCTGAAAAGATATTGTTCTACAAGTGTATGGCTGACTGTAGATCTGATCCCTAGATGGAAGAAAATCTTTCTAAGCCTAAGAATAGATTAAAGGTATATATGTCATTACATGGTTTTAAACTTTTATACATGGAGAACTATATAATAAACTGTAGAGTTTAGTTTCCAAACTACCAGAATAAATATTTGCCAGTAATATGAAAAGGGGTTAAAATATTTCTAACCTTTGAAGAACCTGTACTAATAATATATTAAGACCTCAAATGGTAAATGGGTAAAGAAAAAATTCATAAGACAGTAAGTACCCAAAACATTTGGGCATGTGGAGAGTTGGGTTTCTTTAATGCTTAAATTAATAGTCTATAACAGTATCTTTAGCAAATTATTTTTAAATGAGAATAACCAATTTTAGCAAAAATGATAAAACAGACACTTTCACATGGAGCTGGTTAGAGTACAAATAAATAAAACCTCCCTAGACGGTACTTTGGCCATATCCTATCACCCAGTAATTCCAAGTCTGAGGATCAAGTCTCCAGAAATAACTTAAAATTCAGTCATCTCTACAAGTTATCAGCTTTTTTTATATCACAACAATGTGAAAATCTAGATGATTGCCAGTAATAGATTAAATAAATTACAAGGGAAAAAGTAAGTATTTAAATTGTCTTAACATGCATAAAGGATTAATTTCAAAAAACATACAAACAAGTATATACATAACCGTATCAATAGAGAGTCTAGATCAGTGTTTTTCACATTGAGGGTTGCCACTATTTCTGGGTCATGAAATCCATTTAGGTGGTTGGAATCAATTTAATTTAATAGAAAATATGGAGGGCATTATGCCAAGTAAGGATGAGTATTGTTTCATGAAACTTATTTCCAACATATAAATATACATATCTTTCTAGGAGTTGTGGCTAAAATATATTTCATTATTTTTAGAAAAACTGTTCTTGTGGTGGGATTACAGACCTTTGATCATTTCTTAGTATTCCAGATTTTCTACAAATGGTATGTTATTTTCTGCTGGCAAGAAAGCCCACTAATTTTAATATTTAATCAGGAAGGAATTTGGATGAAAGGAAACTTGTGTTCAAATACTACACAGAAAAACAGTATTACAGAAGACTGTAGCTCCTGAGCACTCAGCCAAGTAGAGAAACTACATATAGAAGAAAAAACTTTTCCAAATTGTTATTGTGATTTTAATCTTTACAGTTTTTTCTGTTTTCCACTTTTACAGTGAATAAATTCTTTTTAGAATTAGAATGGGGGGAAGCATAGAGAAGAACTGGAACACACTTCACCTGGTAAATACTCTTTGGATTGCTCACTTTAGGAATGATCTGAGGTTCTTTGTTACAACTTTCTTCATCGGAGGAAACGCCAGAGGAGTGGTCTAAAGTGGCTCTATTAACGGCACAGCTGATCCGTTGGGAAAGCTCCCGTTGCTCCCACCTGCCTTTAAAAGAAGCGATTGTAAATGGGTGATTTTTCTCACCATACCTAAGTGGGAAAAGAAAATAAAGTATTCGTTAGGGATTCAAAATTTCACAAGTTGTTTTTATCTCTACTCTTTTCTACAGACCACTCACTAATCTGCAAAAAGTTATTTTAAACAAATGGAAATGGTTTGACGGCAAAGCAAGTTAAGAGACGCTGTGACCTTCAGCTACCACAGGGTGGTAATTAATGGGGGTTATTCTCTAAGCGCTCTCGGTGAATTTTTCAGAAAAAGACAAGAACTAGTTTCTTTCAGTTCAGCTAAAGGACTGCATTGCAACTTCTCTGCCCTTTGATACTGCCTATAATCCTTAGACGTTATTATCTACGGTTGGCAATGAAGTGCAGGGATTAAAGTCAGATTTCAAATACTATGTAAAGTCTTTGTGCTTCCAGGCCATCCGCTCCTAATGGAAGTTTGCGCGAATCAAGTTTGCATCCGAAACCTTAACGGGCCAAGGCCCTCGGCCTGCTAACCACTAACGCAGGGCTGTGGCGCATCATCTCTCACAAAGGTGTACAGAACTGACTATGTAACCAAGGTTTCCGGGGGTCACAGGCACGCCCCCTCCCATGAGATTACTCACCTACAGCACACTTCAAAGGGATCTACCCATAGGGTCATCTCCTTTGGAAGTCCCAGGAGAGAAAAATCCACTTTACTTTCAGCACAAGCCCTTTCTAGAATGGGATCTTTATTCTGAATATTATTTATCCTGATACACCTTTAAAAAGCAAGGAAAGGGAAACAGAGATGGGGTGACAGGTGCCTTAGTAGAAGAATCATGTGATGGGCAAACGGCTCCAATACACACAGCTCCCCCCTCACCCGCGACCCCTGCCCCGTCCCCGCCCTCCACGTTCTATGGGTAGAACCATCGACTTTTTACACAGCTACTCAGAATGTGAGTTGCATCACTAAGCCACACAATTAGTGTGACGAATGTTCTCTGCTTAATCCACCTCACATAAGGGAGTTTGCCCTATAAGCCTTCAACTATCATTTAAGCTACATAGGTTTCAACTACGCACTGCCGCCTGCTGAATCTTTCTTTCAAGCCCACGTTCAAATCAGCTTGAGCCCATAAAACTTATGTTACTCAGACTCTGCCGACAGAATCCTTGCCAATGGCGATCACTCGCTTGTGACTTCCTTCCCTTTGCCGTCCTACACACCGCCTCTCACCTGAAGGCTTGCCCTTTGGAAGGGAAGTCAGAGTGCCAGTGACTTCTGTAGGTTTCAAACAAGATCGTCATCAGCTTTTCTGCGAAGTCTTTTACTTGCTGTTTACTCAATTTGTCATGTTTTTTCACCAGTCTTGTGACAAAGAAAACTGCTGTTGCAATTTCATCCCTCATGATTCAAGAGAAAGGAGGTCTGCAACCATTAAAAGGAAGCGAGAATAAATTAAAATAGAAACAGGGTCACACTGGTTAGCAACATGTAATTGCCATTGGGAAGTTTTATAGACCTTACGTTTAAAGTAGAAATCGTTTGCTAGTCCTTCATGAACGAAATAAGCGCATCGATACTATCAAATAACAAAACAGCCAGGAGCACCAATTCCTCAACTAGTCAGTTTTTAATATTTTCAAAGAAAAAAAAAGACCCGCTTTTCAAAACTTCAGTACACTTAAGCAACAAATGAAACACCACTATGCAACTTAAGTCAAAAAAGGGGAGGGGGGCCTGGGTGGCTCAGTCTGTTAAGCGTCTGCCTTGGGTTCAGATCATGATCCCAGGGTCCCGGGATCGAGCCCCACATCAGGCTCCCTGCTCAGCGGGAAGCCTACTTCTCCCTCTCCCTCTGTCTGTTGCTCCACCTACTTGTGCTCTCTCTCTCTGTTAAATAAACAAAATCTTTTAATGAAAAAAAAAGCCCTGATACAAGACAGTCAATTATACCCAAGCAATGCTTTTTAAAAACATGTTTACAGAGAGCAAAACATTTCAGGATATAGTAGTTCTAAAATGTGGCTCTCAGGTCACATGCTTTAAGTAAAAGTTAAAGTTAATCAAACATACATGATACTTGCCAGAAAAAGTGCTTTAGCCCAACAAAAAGCAGGTCAGCGTTAGAAGACACTCTCCCCTACACCTGTTCTGTTAGTTTTAGGCTGAAGTTTATATAAACCTGGGTCCCAGAGCCTGACAGGTGTTTAACCTTACACAGGGGCAGTCCGTTAGGGTAATTAAATAGCTTCTTCCAGGTCCCCATCAGATTCCTCCCTGGTATACGCAGAGTGAGTTCTTTAAAATCTGAACATCTGAAAAAAGATTTTCCACCTGGATTTGTCTCTTCTATTTTGCTATTAAAGTCTTGTCTCTTATGACATAGATTGAGAATCAAGCCTTCTCCTTCCATATCCTAATATCCTACATTCCAGTAATTTTGTCTCTAATTGTAACTGTCAACATATTAAAGAATTTTGTCTTGGGTCGTGTATAAAACTTAAGACAACTTTCTTTGAACAATCGTTATGTTGACAACACACATTTTTTGCTAGAATGTTTATTTGCAAAATAAGTGGAAAAGATCTTGGAGTTTATCTAATCTCATTGGTTCTCAAAGTGTGGGTCACTGACCACCTCGTTGGGCCCCACTGCGCTGCCTGTTAAAAATGCAGATGCTTCTAAAGGTGAAGCCTGAGAATCAGTAGATCACAAGTACTTCCAGATGATTCTTATACCCACTAAAATTTAAGAACCACGGCACCTGACATATAAGTCTTTAAACCCACAGTAAGGGGTCATTCAAGTTCTTCATCAGTGAAAAAGAATTCGTTCTCTTAAAAGGAAGCCCATTTCATTTCTAAAAAGCTCCAAATACCAAGCGGTGCTTCTTCCCTTGGAGGTGCCAATTCCTCCTAATGGAAGCCTTACTTCTCTGGAACTATAGACTGTAGCTGACGCTCGACCGCATGAAGACACTTCAAATGCCAGTTCTTCAGCCTCTCCTGAGCCTTCTCTTTTGGAGCGCTAACCTCAACTTTTAACAGTCCTTCCTATAGACACCTCACTCCAGATGCTTCACCATGCTCGGCGCTCACCTGTGGAGGAGTTTCAGGTATGTCAGTAATGCTTGTTTAAAGTGCGGAGCCCAGGACACACAGTGCCCCGGGTATGCTCTGCCATTGCAGATGAGAGTGGGACTGTCCCCTCCTTTGCTGCAGATACCGTATTTCTAGAACGCAGCCTCAGGTGGCATTCACCTTGTTGGCATGGCATCCCACCACTGCCTCACGTTGAACTTGCAAGGAGTCTTTTTCACTAATGCTATTGTTTGTTTGTTTTTTTTAAAGATTTTATTTATTTATTTGACAGAGAGACAGCTAGAGAGGGAACACAAGCAGGGGGAGTGGGAGAGGGAGAAGCAGGCTTCCTGCCGAGCAGGGAGCCCGATGCGGGGCTCGATCCCAGGACCCCGGAATCATGACCCGAGCCGAAGGCAGGCGCTTAACGACTGAGCCACCCAGGCGCCCCAATGCTATTGGTTTTTTACATCTTTCCCTTCCTGGACAGCTTGAGGTTTAAGAATATGGGCTTCAGAGTTAGACAGACCTGGGTGTGAATTGCAACTTTACGATGCACTGTCTGTGTAGCCTGGAGCAACCTGCTTACCTCCTGAACTTTCAATTTCTGACCTGTGAAATGGGAGGGACAAGAGTGACCCCCCCAGGGTTGTTAACAAGATTACAATCAGTGCACAAACGCACCTTGTCCAGAGCCTGTCTAGCTGTTGTGACAGGAAGCTGATTAAGAAATCAGCTTAAAGGGCGCCTGGGTGGCTCAGTTGGTTAAGCGACTGCTTTCGGCTCAGGTCATGATCCTGGAGTCCCTGGATCGAGTCCCGCATCGGGCTCCCTGCTCTGCAGGGAGTCTGCTTCTCCCTCTGACCCTCCCCCTTCTCATGTGCTCTCTCTCTCTCATTCTCTCTGTCTCAAATAAATAAATAAAATCTTAAAAAAAAAAAATCAGCTTAAAATCAAGTGTCATGGGATTGAGTCCCAGTCCTTCGTTTACCAGACATTTAGGGAAATTTCTCAGTCTCTCTCATCTTCAAAATCTCATCTGTAAAAAAGGGGGTAAAACGTGTGCCTATAGCCTTGGAATCAGACTTCCAGAACTGGAAGGCTTTGTAGGGTTATGAGAATTAAGTATAAAATGCCTAGAACAGCACCAAATACTCCGTAAATGCTCTGTAAATGATAGATATTACTACTACTACTATTGTCTTATGAGGTTCTTGTCCAGATTAAATTATAAAATTAGGGTGCCTGCGTGGCTCCGTCATTAAGCGTCTGCCTTCGGCTCAGGTCATGATTCCAGGGTCCTGGGATCCAGCCCCGTGTCGGGCTCCCTGCTCAGCAGAGAGTCTGCTTCTCCCTCTCCCACTCCCCCTGCTTGTGTTCCTGCTCTCACTATCTCTCTCTGTCAAATAAATAAAATCTTTTTTAAAAATTATAAAATTATATGAAGTATTTAGCAAAGTGCCTGGCATACAGTAAGTCCTCAAAAAGTGGTAGCCTTTCTTATTAATAAATAATAAGTTTATATTTATCATTTTATTGTCTTTTCTAATGCTTTGTGGATTAAATGGGGTATAAAACAACTGCATATTACAGTTATACCTGTCATATTTCATTGTGTTAAATTTAGACCATCACTATAAGGAATCAGGATTATGTGTGACCCAATTCTGTCATTCAATAAATTCTCTTATCGTTTTGGCTGTTATCTGTAAATTTGGCAAGAATATATCCTGCCTATATCTATAAACAAGTTGAATAGAACAAAGATCAAGCAGGAGCACCTGGGTAGCTCAGTTGGTTAAGTGTCTGCCTTTGACCCAGGTCATGATCCCAGGGTCCTGGGATCGAGCTCCACATCGGGCTCCTGCTCAGTAAGGAGTCTGCTTCTCCCTCTCCCTCTGCTGCTCTCTCGCTCCACTCTCTCTCTCTCAAATAAATGAATAAAATCTTTTTTTAAAAAAAGAATAAAGATCAAGCAAACTGCTTTGACAAAATCCAAGTGACTCTAGAATACATTGGAGTCTATTCTAGAGAGACTATAATGTTAGTATTACCCTTTTGAAATTTTATAGAGAGAGAGAATAGACTAGGATAGAGAAATACAAATATTTAATGTTGTTATGAACTAAGATTTTCAATGTAAGGAAAAAGGGATAAAAGTGTAAAATCAAGGAAATTAAGTAAAAATCCTATAATGTTAAATTTGAAATGGTAGTATTAATATGAACTTGAGTTTTTTTCCTAAAAATTTGTGTTTTAGTTCTGTTCACTGAAAGGTCTAGAATTAGTAAGGAATCCTGACATTCATTTTGTGGTCTCTAAATACCGTTTGTCACTTAAAAAAAATCCTTGGAGAAATGGCTCATTCCAGTTGTAGTTCAGGTAATATATTAGATGAGCCTGGAATGTATTTTACCAGAAAGCAAGAAAGTTATGCAAAACCAGTGGGTCATGTCAAAAGACATGAGCCTACATGAAGAGCTCCCATTGGCCAAAGATAAGTTATTTTGAACAGTATAATAGATACTGAGGTCCTTCAACCAGTTCCCCTCTTTAGGGTCAACACAATCATCCCCCAACTGCTGGAACCATCAGCAGCTAATGGCTCAAAGCTGCATTTCTCACTGGGACTTACTCTCAGAAACTATCTCACAGTAAAGATATCCTCCCAGGGATGGCCTGCAGTGCAGCCTTTGGCTAACGTGGGGATACAAAAACCTGGCCCCCTTATAATTCTGAAGAGCCACCCCATCTCCGGAGTTCCCTATAAAATAGACGGAGTCCTCAAATGCAACTGCATCATTGGTCCACCTGTCCCTCTGGCCGGTCCTATCTTTCTCACTCCCTCATGGGTATATCTCTCAAGAGGATTCCCTAATAAACCTTCTACATGCAGTTCTCTATCTCAGAGTCCGTTTCTAAGAAACCCAGTCTGAGACAGTTTTAAGGAAACAGACTCTAAAATGGAATTTTGGAAATGGATTACTTACCTGCTGGCTGGAGTAAAAACTTCATTGCTAGTGGTAATAGAATCTGGATATGGATGGCTCCTGGCATGCTGGACCGCTAGAACTTAAAACTTTCACCAGTGCTGAACTGAGATGCAAGATAGATATTATTATTGGAAATACAGCTAGGGTTGCACTGGCTACTGTAATATCTTTGATGCTTAGGAGGTATGAGAAATGATCATCTAAGCACTATGGAAATGGTGGTTGAGCACCTGGATATCAAGTAATGACATAAGTTAATAAGTCTAGCTCAATTCAATATATTAAGTATTTCAGTATCTACTATATGCCCAAAACATATAAAAATAAAATTAAGTTGTGACTAGGACCTTAATGACCTTCTACTTTCACA